CTCTTCCAAGTAGCTGGAACTACAGGTGCGCACTACCATGCCCGGCTCATTTTGATTTATTGTAGAGATGAGGTCTCACCAAGTTGCCGAGGCGGGTCTCGAACCCGTGGGCTCAGGCAATCCACTCACCTCAGCCTCCCAGACGCGCGGGATTACAGGCTGAGCCACCGAGCCCGGCTCAGTCTACTGTTTTAACACGCGCATCATGTTAGCTTAGTTTAGCTGCCATGAGGACCAAAAAGCTCATTTTATCATTATCGTGTTGATGTATTTTGACATCATCAATAGTTTTCACCTTGGCATTCTGACACTATTCCTCCAACTTTTCTGAGAATTCTGTGTACTTTGCTGGTTCTTTCAATTTTGCTAACCCTAACTGTGGCTTTCTCCCAGGCCTCTGACTCCAGCATGGTGGTAGCCACAGCAGCATTAGCAAGGGGTGTCTAAGAAAGAGGTTTATCACTGGAAATAACACCTGAACAGTAAAGGATACTAGAAATGCTTCTCAAATAAAGTCTCTCCTCATTGCTGGTCTTAGGAGACCTGTGTTTCATTTATCAAGGAGCATGTTAATTTTCCTATAGCTCTGGACATGGGAAGATTGTTGCCCTGTCCCACTCTGCCTCTCTCTCTGTGTGCTCAAATTCCTTACCTTGACTTCCTTATCTGTGAAGCAATAGTAATATCTCCCTTTTAGACTTGTTAGAGAATAAAATGAAATATAAAGCTCATTTCATAGTACTTGGTAAAGTCAAAGCTTGGTACTTGGTACCTCTTTATATAATGACTCAAGGGATCACTCCCTACTTGATGTAATGCCTCTGTGACTCAAGGATTCGTTCTACAAGAAGAGTATACAAGAGGGGACCCCCCCGCCCAAAAACCCAGAATTTTTTTGGAGAGTGGGCCCTTGGTAGTACAGGCTTTCCCTGCTAAGTAAGTGTTCTCGAAACCCATCAGCATCAGTGTACCAGCTAGTATTGTTGTGAGAGGTTTTGTTTGGCTTCAGTGAAATTTTTTTTTTTTTTTTTTTGAGATTCTTTCAACATGTTTGCCCATTTCATAATGGATGATTTATGAGTGCACCTGCCCACATCTCACTGAGTTTTTGGCCAAAAATGGCATGATCCCTGTGTCCCACTCTCCTATTCACCTGATCTCCCTCTGAGTGACTGCTTTGTTTCCCTATATAAAAAAAGTTCTCAGAGAGAAATGTTTTACTAAAGTGAAAGAGGTGAAACAAAAAATGGCAGAAGCACTAAAAGGCATCAAAACTGACAAGTTCAGAAACTATTTTGATAAGAGGAAAAAAGCATCTCAATAGGTGTATTACATTAAACGGAGAGTATTTTGAAGGTTACTGAAGTTTAAACATGTAAGAATAAATACATCGTTTTTAATAAATAAATTCTGGAATTTTGGGGGGTTCCCCCATACATTTCTTTTCTAGACATTTTCCTATTACATAATAATTTTTCTTTATATATTTGTCTCCTGATAAACAATGAGTACCTTGAAGGCAGGGTATCTGTTCTACTCATCTGTGTATACCCAGTGATCAAGTTGGTGCCTGGCACTTAGTATGCCATCAATAAATGATAGGCTGATTCAACTGGCTTGTCATAGGAAATAAGTAGGAAATTATTCAATATATACTTGATAAATTTACAAAATATTTTCACTTTATGAATAATCTTAAACGGGGTGTCCAACATTTTGGCTTCTCTGGGCCACATCAAGTAACCTATTGTCTTCTGTGGGCCACATCTAATAAAGAAGAATCTCCTTGGGCCACACATAAATTATATAATATAGTTAATGCTTATACATAATAAGACTTTAAAAAATATTTTTATTATAAAGTTTAGAAAAATGAAAATAATATAAAACTAGTGGGAAATGTGACCATGTTTTTGAAAAACTAATCTATCAATATCTGGTTCAAAGGAAGTGGCCACAATTCTTTGTGAATTCTCAAGGTGTTCATCAGAAATGTTTGTTTGAATTTTGCTCTTTGTGTGCTTCATAAAGAAAAACAGTCACTCACAAATATACGTCCTGCCAAAAAGTGATGTCATGAATAACATGTGATTGTGAACTTCAAAAATGGGACTATGCATGGGGTCACAAAGAAAATAAATGCTAAAAAACACATGATGTTAAAAGATTTTGTGGGGCCATATTACTAGCTGACCTGGGTTGCACGTGGCTCATGGGCCACAAGTTGAACATGCCTGATCTAAAGCAAAAAGAAAAATAGGAAGCAATAACAACTTGCTTTTCAAGTGGTACTGACAGGGCCATGTCGGAAGAGCTTGTTTAGAGTTGTTGCACTCTAGAGCTGATGGCAACTTTACCGTTCCATCAGGCCTAGCTTGTCTCCCAATGTAATGTTCCTCATGACTCTTCCTGGAAAGTTTATAAGAAGTCTCTTCAGGACTGGGCAGCCTAATTTCTACAGTTTTTTCTTGTGTTGAGCCCAATGCTGTGCCCATTTCAGATGTGAAGGCAGAAGAAGCAAGGGACTCCCCCCTTACATTAGAGCTATCATGTATCTCCATTTTGCCACTTCTTCACCCAAGTGACATTTGGAAATCTTGCATTCCTTGTATATAACTTACTTATCCTTAGATTTCTAGAGAAACTAGAAAGTTTTGGTGAATTTTTCTGTTAATGATGGTACTTGGGGCCTTAAGAACACAGAGGAGATAAACACAGCTTATTACAAAAGCAAGTAGAAAATGACTTCAAATATGGTAGTAGAAAACAAGTTTCTCTTAATTAAATAGGTGATTTTACTTTTTCTATTGTAAAGACATTAATATCTCTTTAAAAATCATGCACCACCACTGTACTTGGATCTAAAATAAATTCAGAGTGGGGAAAACATACCTAGATTTGGAACAAACTTTCATTTCTTCACCCATGAAGCAAGTGTCAATCACACGCTTACCATATTCTACGTGTGCACTTTGCCTAAATCAACATAATCTGAGAATCATTAAATTCTATCTAGCTATTTGATTTAGAAATTCAATTGTTCTGATAGATAACTGCTTTCCCCAATCACCACATTGATTTTAAGCTAAAAAAAGGAAGTAATATTGATGATTAAAAAAAAAAAGAGATGTGTATTTTGTGTGTGCATAAGTCTAGACACAATTTCTAGAGAAGTTTTCTACAATACAATCAAGAAGAGGTAGATGCATTCTACTCTGGGTGGCATCTGCTCTGGGTGGCATCAAAATTGACAAGTTCAGAAACTGAGCAGAGGAAAAAGCATCTCAGTAGGTGCATTAAACGGAGAGTACTTTGAAGATGATTCAATGTCTGCTGTGATAATTGTCTTCCATAGCTCTCAAGAAACACAGCTGACCTTTGCTGCAAGTTTCTGAGTTTATAATGCATATGTTGTGTGCTTTAAATACCAGGTGTCACAAGAGTCCTCCATTCCAAGTGATTTCACCTGACCTTTCCCTAGTATGCCATTCATGGGAGTATGATCCCTGCTTTCATTTAAATGTGTGACATGTATAAATGATTTCAGCTCATCCCTTTTACTTTTTATACTACAATACTAAAAAAAGGTATCGTATATATTTCTGGTTTCTGAGGTAAATTCATACTGGAACACTTATTTACATCTTATTATATAGAAACAGCAAGGACACTTCTAATCCAAGTGTAAGAAATAAACTACTCTCCTTGATTTTAAAAATACAAAGAAAGAATTCATACTTACATAATTAGCTTAGTTATTAAAATGTATCAATATGAGATTCTTTTAAACTTATTTTCTGCTGTAATTTATTTATAGTGCAAATCATCTAAACATATAGCTATTTGTAATATAAAACATCAAGACCAGTATGCTTTTATCTGTGCATTTTGAAATGAGATCTGTGTTCCTTAAGTTTATTCCTCCTCAAATACTACAAAACTAACTCTTAAGTCAGACTCTACTTTTTTAAAGGATTAAAAACTAATACTAATAATAGTCTGGGAATGATAAAAGTTTGAGGAGCAGCTAGCTGGAAAAAAAAAAGGTGAACTGAATAAAGAATAATAATTAAATTACAGCCATGAAATTTTGGATGTTTAAAATGTGCTATTAAGAAAATCTTTCGAAAAAAATGCTTTATGTTCTGCACAGCCATACTGGTGGCTTCGTCTATTAAAGTCCAAAAGAACATTTAGTCAATGAAGTTGTCTGTGGAACTTAAAAATTCTAACTGCTATTAATAGCTTAATGGTTGGTCTGAATATGATTAGAAATAGGTAAACATAACTTAAATGACAGTTTTATAAAATCTTAAGAAGATACACCAGAAGGAGTGGTGCCTAAATGGAAGACACCACCATGTACCTTCCAGGACACCATCTGCTCCTTTTTCTTTGGAACTACATTGAAAGAGTGGGGTTTTCATGTAATGTGGCATCTCTGAAAAATTTAGCTCTATGAGCTTCATGTTTCAATATGGTTAATGCATATTATTGTATGTTGGTTAGAAACATACAATGCACATATATTATACAAACATTCAATGAAACCTACATATTACTGTATGTAGGTCTAAGTAACATTACATGGTTGTTGAGTCCTGAATTCTTTGACCCCTTTGGGATCACAACAAAATACCAGTTTATTTTTTTAAGTAAAAATATAAAGCAAGCTCCTAAAAATGTCACTTATAATGCTCTTCTTAGAAGGGAAAATAAATAAGTTTATTTTAACCCACTTATGCTAGCCTCTGACTCGTGAGGTAGAAATGCAAAATTCCATATTTTGAATTAGTTTATTTGAACTACAACATTATAAAATTAACTTCTGCCCAAAGCAATCTTCCCAAGAGAGATTAAAGTATATTTTAGCTAAAATAAATGATGTCCTGGACAGCATGCTTAAAATGTCACCAACAGTGGGGTCGGGCTCAGCCTCAGAGTCCACTTCTGGGAAATCCTGACAGAGAAGTCGGCTAATGTCTGATGTCTACTGGTAGTATTATACTTGTTCAGTAAGATCCACTTAAATGTTTATTTTTAAGTGGTTCTCTCTTGTTTTCCTAGTCTATAAAGAAATATGGTGGTATATAATAAATTGTAAATGGCATTACTTAAAAGATTTATAGAAATATATTTTGTACTTATTCTATTCAATTGGTTTTTATTTAACCTAACCACTTCCTCAGCATAACTAAGAAAAGTGTAACAATTATCAACTTCTGGTAAATACTCTAATGATGTCTATACAGTGTACTTTCTCAAATAAGCCAAGGCATATGTAGTAGCACCCTGCTAAAGTATGTGGACTTATCAGAAATGTTGTCCTCAAGAGCCTAACACCTACGTCACATGGAGATTTCAATGCATCTGCTCAAAGCCAGCAAGGGACACGTCTGTTTACAGAAGATGACAGCAGACAGCTCAGTATCAGCTTTCAGACCGAGTGTTTACCTGTGGTCCTAAGGGCACCATTCCTCGAGGAGGAGTCATTCTCTGCATCGGCCCACCCATATTTGGATGTCCTGAAAAGAGTAGGCCCATGTTAGCAATGTAGGAGCCCAAGTGCTGACCGGGGGCAAGCACCTCCCCATGCTGGGTGCTCCTTCCAGCATCTTACTCGCCATGTGCTGAGTGACCCTGGCTCACCTTGGCCCCTATAGCCACCTTTCTACCTGCCACCACTCCCTACCCACTCTCCACTCATATCTCCATAGAAATCTTCCTGTTCTGTGCTAAACTACTTTTTCTATGCCTTGTGCTCCTCACTCTGTGGGATAGCGTAGACACTGCCCATATCTGTAGCATCTCAATTATCCCTCTGGAAGGGATTGTTAACCTCCTCAGGCCATCTGCTGCTTGGCCCTCCCTCCTGCTCATCCACCAGTGGATCAGCCCTCTATCCCAGAAAGGTAGAAAGGACATGAGCGATAAAACCACTACTTGATAGAGATTATGGAAAAGCTGTTAGAAGTTACGAATTTTAATTTTAAAATACGGGGTTCGGATCTTTATGTGTTCTCTGTCTCATGTTATTACAACCCTCACTACCATATATAATTAAGAGCTGAAAACAAATTGTTTGACCATATTATCTGCAAAAATGTAACTGGTATAATTATGGAAGATTTATGCAAAATAAAATTTTCCTTTAAAAATAAAGGATTTCCTCTCTGGTATGCACATCAGTTTTATTTCTACTTTAATCACCTTGTTGTCGAGTTGGGTCCATTCCACTGGGGAGTAATGGCTGACTTCCTGGGACACCGCCAAGTGCCTGGCAAGTTAGTAAGACAAAACAAAAAAGCAACGTTGTCAATATATGTAAAATAAGTGTTTTAACAATTTCCTTTTAAATTCCTGTGTCATAATTACAGAATGCATTTGGGTATTTCTCAAGATTTCTTAAGTTTCACACTCATTTATGAGTTTTACAGGTCAGTATACTGTGTATAAGTTCTTACTTCTAAAAAGATCCTACTTTGTCCAACTTTGTGTCAAATAAAATAAGTATTTCTGGGGGGAAAAAGTCTACATAAAAACTGTCCTACTTCTTCCTGATAAGTATAATGCCCTTTCCAAGAATTAATTTACTAAGGGTACTGGAATAATTAATTTTGTTTCTTAAATGTAAGCTCTTTAATTCTACAGAATATCTTACTCATTGGGGATTACAATAGCAGAGGGACTAAATGCCAAGGGACCAATGAATGTTTCTTTTTGTAGTTATATTTTTCCTAAGAAATTATTTAGAAAAATAACACTTCAATTAAGCTTAAGTAATTTGGCTGTATGGAAAAAAGGGAAATAGAAAAAGATAGATATTAACGTAACAGGGTTTGTTTTCTGCAAAGTGCAAAACAGACAGGGTTTGTTTTCTGCTGAACCACAAGTTTCTAATAATTGCTGAGCAGGACTTAGAGCTAGATTAAGGTACAAATGATTTAAACCTGCTGATCCTATAAATATATATGTATGCATGTATATAGAAAATGCTGGCAATTGGTGAAGATTTCTATAAAGATTCACTAATTTAACTTAAAGTAGCAAAGTCCTGTCTAATAAGTTCAAATATCTCAATATTTAACATGACATGATGCATATATCCAGATCAGATCTGTTAACTGTCATCACATGGGATGCAATGCAGAGTGGCCACTTCTCAGGCCATATTGGCACTTCTCTGACTGTTCTGCTCCCAAGTATACCAGCACATGTGTGGAGTTCCGCTAGGATGGTCTGTTGCCTGCTACTCCCCAGCCTAATGTCTTGCCACTGCCACACTCACATTCAGACTTCCAGTCACACCAAACTTATTCCAGTTTTTTCTATTCATGCATTCAATCAATGATATCTAAATGTCAACCATTAAAAACAAGACAAAATTAAAACTACACTTAAGAATGTCTCTTCTCAGGGAGCTCAAAGACCCTTCAGTAGCTGCCATTGAAATTGTCTAGATCTCAGTTTAGGGATAACTTTCTAACAAAATTCTTCCCTATAGCTTCAGTCTGGGATAAGTCCTCTATCTATCTATCTATCTATCTATCTATCTATCTATCTATCTATCACAATAATAATTTCAAATTCAAAGAAAAACTGCACAAATAGTGCAGAGAATTCCCACGTACCTTGGCCCAGATTCCCCACTTGTTAACATTTCATCACATCTGCCCCAGCCTCCTTCTCCCTCCTTCTCTGTAAATACATACTTATTATCATAAGTCTTTTGTGGAACAGCTTACCCACAAATACTGCAAGGCACAGTTCCCTAGACAAGACATATTCCCATGCAACGACCACACAACCTTTGATGTCAGGAAGTCAACATAAATATATTACTACTGTCTAGACTTCATTTAAATCTTGTCATTTGTCTCAATAATGTTTCCTTTTCCTTTTGGGTGCCAGACCATTTTGCAAGGGACAGTTGTCATGTCTCTTCCTTCTCTTCTAAGCAGGACCAATTCCTGTTCTTCTATCAACAACATCCCATCTATCACGTTCTCAACAGTTGAGAACAGGCTTTAACTTCTACAGGATGACCGTATGATGTTTCTGGATGATCTAGATTCAGGTCATATTCCTCAGCATGATACCACAGACATGATGCTACTCTCTTCTCTGTGTCCTGTCAGAGGACCCCTGATGTTGACTCCCCCTACTGTGGGCAATGCTGACCTTCATCACTTGATTGTGTTGCTGGCTGCAGGTTCTACACAATAAGGTCACTGTTTTGATTCCTTTTAGCATTAGTGCTATTCTGAGACTGTCAATTCCCCATTCTTCATCAATCTTTATCAACCCATTGGCCATAACCTTCACTAATTCCCAATGCCAGTGACGGTCACAGAGATATTCCCTGCCTGTCACTCCTCCTGTGTCTGCTAGTTGGCATTTCACTGTAACGAAGAGCTTTCCTTTTTTTACTTATTTACCTACTTACTCAGAGATTCCCATTTTACTCAATGGGTTGTAATCTATTATTATCATCACTTATTTCTATATTCAAATTATTCCAGATTTGGACAGTGAGAAGTGGCTAGTGTATGTGTGTGTGTGTGTGTGTGTGTGTGTGTATGTGTGTGTGTATAATACACCGTCATGGGTTTTTTAATATTTTCTTACTTTTTGAAATAAGATGTTCAGGTTCATCTCATATTTTTTTTTTGACCCCGGTCTTGGAATCAGGTCTTTCTCCAAAGGGCCTTAATCCTGTTAGTGGGGGACAGCTTTTTGGCACCAAGGTCTGGGTTCTTGGAGCACGCTTGTCACATGGTGCACCATTGTAGGGCCATCAGTAAATGCTGAGCTGGAAAATCTACAAAGGCATGTGTGTTCACATATATACATACATGTACACCTACAACTGTGTGGAAAGCACATATGCATACTATAACTCAGACTTTCCAGCACAAATTCAACAACTCTAATTCCAATCTGACAGCCCAGGATTATTGTCACCTTCCTCCTTTCTGGCTTGGTAAGTATTTTCTCCAATGGTGGGAAACCTGGTTTCTGCTTCCCCAATACATTTACTTATTTGTTCCATCAGTGTATTTATTTGTGCAATGTCACCCATCTCCCACCACACTGGCCACTTCTTGCTTTCCCCACTGGCTCCTCCCATCTCTGCATGTAGGGCATGCAGAGACTTTTGTCCCGGGACCCAGGCCTACTGTCACAGAGCACAGATATGATCACTGCTCATCCTCCTCTCTGTTTCTGCTGCTGTCACAGGGGACACACAATTCAATGAAGGAAATCATGGGTGCTGAGCTCTTAAGAATGAAACAGACCTCAAATAATGAAAAGAGAAAAGCTAAAAGATTTACTTCTTAGAAAAAAAAACAAGAAGAGGTAAGAAAAAGACTGTAAAGAACAGACACAAAACTAGGAAGGGCCCACCACCAACGTCTTGGAATGCATCAGAAGAGTCTTTAGAAGGAAAAAATGGCCAATGCTACCAAAAATCATGAAGAAGGTAGAAGGACTCAAAACCGATGCCTCACCAACACTGTCTTCAACTGTGAAATTTAAGCTCTTGCTTGTTAAGTCTCCAAGTGGCTAGACTTTGACATGTCTAACTATAGATAATGGTGTTTTATTGCTGGTAACCATTCTCTTCAAAACTTCATGTTTTCTAGTTTATTTTGGAATACCTGAAAAATTGACAAGCCCTTCTTGTTTCTGTTCATCACTTAAAAATATAGCCTAATCTTATAGAAATCTTGATCAATTTGCTTTCCAAAATAAATGTCTTTAAGTAAATTTACCTCTTTAGTCAACCAAATGTATTCCATTCAGGCTTGTGCCACATATTCGGGCACACATTCTTTGTTCTATAGAGCTCTACACTCTGACAGAAAGCAAGAACACTAATGATGAGGGTAGTTAATAACAGCATGGTATTGGCAATAACACACCCTTGTGAGACAGTGCATCTGTGCCAGGGACTGTGTTAAGCTTTGTAAATTTACTATTTCAGTGCTTGCAATAATCTTACAAGTTTATAATTAATATAATTCTTTAGGAAAGGATAGAAAACAGATGCTTAATACAAAAGTAATTTGTTAATCTGTCCATGGTTGTGCTGTTTTTTAAAAACAGCTTTGAGGCATAATTTACATACCACAAAATTGGCCAAATTCAAGTAACAATTCAATGGTTTTTAGTATATTTACAGTTAGGCATCATCAGCACAATCTAATGTTAGTTCATTGCCCATTTATAGTCATTCCCCATTCTCCATAAGCCCTAGGCACTCACTAATTCCTAACATCACTATTTTCTGTTTTCCAAGGTTATAGTGTAGATAAGTGGCAGAATCAGGGCTCAAAATCAGATCAATACACTCCAAAAGTTCTGAAAGACAAGCCATAAGTCCTGAGATTTAAAATAAATAACGCAAAATTTTATTAAAACAGAAATAAGTGAACTTGCTTCATAAAAGATTTAGTCTACAAAGAATCCATCGTAGTTCCAGTGGCAAGCCCCACCAGGCACTGAGCCTGGTACACAGGCATACCTCAGAGATCCTGTAGGTTCCGTTCCAGACCACCACAATAAACTATCAGAATAGAGTGCATCATGGGAACTTTTTGGTTGCCTGGTGCATATAAAAGTGATGTTTACACTATACTGTAGCCTAGTAAGTGTGTGATAGCATTATGTCTACACAATGTATATACGTTAATTTAAAAATACTTTATTCCTAAAAAATGCTATCAAGCATCTGATACTCAGTGAGTCATAACCTTTTTACTGGTAGAGTCTTGCCTTGATGTTGATGGCTGCTGCTGGATCATGGTAGTGGTTGCTGAAGGTTGAAGTGTCTGTGTCAGTTTCTTAAAGTACGACAACAAACAATTAAATTGCTGCATTGATTAACTCTTCCTTTCAGGAAAGATTTCTCTGTAGTATGTGATGCTGTTGGATAGCATTTTACTGACAGTGGAATTTCCTTCAAAGTAGAAGCCAATCCTCTCAGACTCTGCTACTGTTTTGTCAACTACCTTTACGGGATACTCTAAATTTTTTGCTGTCATTTCAACAATGTCCACAGCACCTTTACCAGGAATAGATTCCATCTCAAACCACTTTCCTTGCTCATCCATAAAAAACAACCCCTCATCTGTTCAAGTTTGATCATGAGATTGCAGCAATTCAGTCTTACCTTCAAGTTCCACTTCTAATTATAGTTACTTTGCTATTTCCACCACACCTGCAGCGACTTCCTCCATGAAAGTCTGGAGTCCCTCAAAGCCATCCATAAGGGTCAGCATCAACTTCTTCCAAATTCCTTTTAATGTTGATATTTTAAACTACTCTTACAAATAACAGATGTTCTTAATGGCATCTAGAATGGTGAATCCTTTCCAGAAGGTTTTGACTAGGCTTTGCCCAGATCCATTAGAAGAATCACTATCTATGGCACTTATAGCCTTACAAAATGTATTTCATAAATAACAAGACTTCAAAGTCAAAATGATTCCTTGATCCATGGGCTGCAGAATGAATGTTGTGTTAGCAGGCATGAAAACAACATTCATCTCCTTGTATATCATCAGAGCTCTTAAGTAACCAGGTGCATTGCCAATCAGCAATAATATTTTGAAAATAACCTTTTTTCCCTGAGGAGTAGGTGTCAAGAGTGGGCTTAAAATATTCAGTTAACCATCCAGTAAACGAATGTGTTTTCATCCAGGTTTTGTTGTTCCATTTACAGGCAGAATAGGTTTAGCATAATTCTTAAGGGCACTAGGATTTTTGGAATAATACATAAGCATTGGCTTCAGCTTAATATCACAGCTGCATGAGTCCCTAATAAGAGAGTCAGTCTGTCTTTTGAAGCCTTGAAGCCAGGCATTGGCCACTCCTCTCTAGCTATGAAATTTCTAGATGGCATCGTCTTCTAACAGAAGATGGTTTCTACACTGAAAATCTGTTGATTAGTGTAGTTACTATCATCACTGATGTCAGCTAGATTCTCTGGAGAATTTGTTGCAGCTTCTCCATTAGCACTTGTTGCTTCACCTTGCATGTTTATTTTATGGAGATGGCTTCTTTCCTTAATCCTTATGAACCAACCTCTGCTGGCTTCAGACTTTTCTTCTGTACCTTCCTCATCTCTCTCAGCCTTAACAGAATTGAAGGGTGACAGGGCCTTGATCTGGATTAGGCTTTGGCTTAAGGGAATGTCATGGCTGGTTTGATCTTCTATCCCGGTCATTCAAACTTTCTCCATATCAGCAGCAAGGCTGTTCTATTTTCTTATCATTCATATGTTTACTGGAGTAGCATTTATAATTTCCTTAAGAATTTTTCCTTTGCATTCACAACTTGGCTACCTGTTTGGCACAAGAGACACAGCTTTGGGCCTTTCTCAGCTTTTGACCTGCCTTCCTCACTAAGTTTAGTCATTTCTAGCTTTTGACTTTAAGTGAGATGTGTAACTTTTCCTTTCATTTGTAAGGTTACACTGTGGGGTTACAAACTGGCCTAATTTCAATGTTGTTGTGTCTCAGGGAATAGAGAGGCCCAAGGTAAGAGAGGCCCAAGGGAAACAGCTGGTTGGTAGAACGGTGAGAACATATAAAAACACTTACAGATTAAGTTCACCGTCTCATATGGTATGGTTCATGGTACCCCAAACAGTTACAATGATAACATCAAAGATCACCAATCACAGGTCACTCTAACTGATATCATCATCATGCAAAATTTGAAGTACTGAGAGAATTACCAAAATGTGACACAGAGACACAAAGTCAGCACCTGCTGCTGGGTGAATGGCATTAACAGATTTGTTCGATGCAGGGTTGCCACAAATTTTTAATTTGTAAGAAACATAGTATCTGTGAAAGGTAATAAGATGGGATATACCTGTATATTTCCTTGAATACCATCACACAGCCTACTCTTAGCTCATTAATTATGAAAAATCCGTGCATTTCTCAATGCTTTTAAGATTTAATTCAACTAACAATTTTGACATATCTAATTTTTATGCTCCCTCATGATATAATTTAAGTAGAACTATACAGTCAAGAAATATTAGGACTAGAAGGGATTTTAGAAATACTCAAGTCTACTCTCATTTTACAGGCAAGAAGACCAAAGCTCAGAAAGGCCAAATGTCTTGCTCAAAGTTACACATGGCTGGATCTGCAATTCACCTCTTCCTAAAAGTGTGTCTTGAGTTTTATTGGTTTCTATAGATGTGGAGCCTATGATAATATCTTCCACATCACAGAGGCTTCACTATGTCGAGCGAATGCAATTCCAAACATATTATCACATTGTCATCATTGATATGCAATATATGAAGCCAAATAATTCTAATAACACACTTACACAAGACTTTCACATTTCCCTGATTCAGATTTTCAGGAACCCCTGAGACCTACGTAATACACAAAGCCATGGATGGCAGGTCTGGAAAACCATGAGGCCGCCAATAAAAGATGCAAATTTCTGCACTTTAAAAAGACATTTAAAGACTCAGGCACCTATGTAAGTAGATTTGGCTTTCAACATACACAAAGTCACCACTGAGAAGATCGCACTCCCACACGCTCCAACACTGGGCATGCATACAAGTCCCTGACCCGCATCATGCCAGCCATGCCTGAGAACTGATGCAGATCCAGGCTGCAGGAAGAAAGTGCTCCAGCTGCCAGCACGGCCCTGCAGAGCATGGTGATCATGGGATGACCCAGCACTGCTCCTGCTAACCATTCTCTTCAGGTGACTGGGTGCTGGTGCAGCCCACCGTGCACTGGAAGTAGACAACACTGCAAACCGTGCTGCGCCACAGGCAAGCAAGTTTCAGCAAGAGCGGAGGGAAGCAGAATTCTGTCTCTGTCAAGCAAATTGTAACCACAACTTTCTTGTGACATTGTTGTTAGGGAAGGAAGTGGCAATGGAGAGAGAATAAGAAGGAAAAAGAGAATGTATTGTGATAAAAGGGTTTATCTGACACATGGAATAAAGCAGAGGTACATAAGCAACAGAATTAGAAAGGACAGGACAACTATCTTGACAGAAACACCCCATAGTATAAAGTGTTTAATCTCTCCTCTCGCGGTACACATGCACACTGCCTTGTGAGTAAAAACTATACTTTATTCTTTTTAGCAAATAAATACTTTTGGTATTAATAAAAAAAAAACTGAGGAGAAAACATAAAATTTTAGTTTTTGTAGACTAAAAAAATTGGAAGATTTATTGTCAAATAATTATTAGTAGTCTGACTCTTCTAGAAGCAGCTAATTATTTGCTTGATATGCCATTATAATTGGGCAAAATTTATATGAATGCCAGAGCCATATTACTGAAACTCTACTATATGCAAGTAAATCAAAATATGCACATAGAAAATCTTATGGCCATCCTTTAAATGAGATCAGTATCTATTGAAACTGTACAGGTTTTAAAAATTAGATTCAAAGTATAAGGTAGACCCCCAAAGGTGGGCAGATTTTTTCCATAAAGAAACAAACACTGACTATTTCAGGGCTGCAAGCCATGTCTGGGCTCTGCCATGCCCACTCACCCTGTGCTGTCCTGTAAGAGCAGCTGCCAACTACAGGAAACTGGCCTGTGCAGCTGTGTTCCAATAAAACTTTATTTACAAATACAGTCAGCCGAAGGCCATAGTTTGCCAACCCTGGAAGTAGATACCATATTATATGAGTTAGAGAAAGGGTGATTTCATGTTTTTATAAGATAAAGAAATTTTCAATTTCTTTATTGAATCTTAAAAAAACTTAAGTAGCATGTAGGTCTTACCTGATTGGGTATCCTCAAGGGGGGCCTTGGACCTCCAGGGTACCGAGGTGACATAAAAGGCTATCAAAGTAAAACAAACAAATAAACAAAACAAAAAACAGCACAATGTAAAATACAGATCTGAAAATAAACTACTTTTAAAAATTTTAGAATTTTTAAATAACATAAATCCATTTACTTTCTTATGTGGCTGTGTTCAGTAGAATAAATGCTTTTAAGAAAAATTACCACCCTGCTTCTTATTTTGTAGAATATCTGAAAAATTTTCCAAAGATAATGTAAAATCATCAGAGATGACTAACTACAGTAAAAATGTTTTAAATATGAATATTAAAATAATGGTATATAAGGGGCAAAAAATAAGATTAAGAAACAGGCAACTGAATAAAAAGGGACTTCAAGAGATGCTTACTGGCTAACTAGTTACATTATTATACAAATTAGGTAAGTAATAAAATACTTTTGACTGAATTATTGGATTTGGTCATCAATTTCCTTTAATAATTTTAAGCTGCCAAATTTCATTCTTCTTTTATAGCTCTTTTAAAAATAATAAAGAAATTTATTTCCCAAGGGTCATTTGTAGTCAAAAAAAGCTATGACTTTTCCTCATCATGGATTTGCTGGAATTCAAAATTGACTAAGCCAGGTGTTGTGGTGCACACCTGTAGTCCCAACTACTTAGGAGGCTGAGGCAGAAAGGTCTCTTGAGCCCAGGAGTCTGAGATCAGCTAGGGATTCTGTCTCTAAAAAAAATTTTTTTTTAGTTAACTATAAATTTTAAAATTGAAATTTCTTTGCATATTTTGACCCTATCAAATCATGAAGTGCGTATTTTTAACAAAAGAAACAAATTGTCATATGTTAAAATCAAGTTAATTTATGTTACGAGATGAGTCAGAGGCTCCTAAGATGCACTAAATCTGTCAGTCTAGAAGCTGTCTGAAAAATTTCTGAAAGTATCATTTAGTGATTGTCTAAAGTTGGGTGAAAGGAGAATTTTTGATCACTCCGATTTTTTTTTTTTTTTTTTTTGAGTTGGAGTCTCACTATGTCGCCCAGACTGAAGTACAGTGGCCACTCCCGGCCACCGCAGCCTCGACCTGCTGAGCTCCGGCGATCCTTCCGCCTCAGCCTTCCAAGTAGCCGGAATTACAGGCATGCGCTACCATGCCCGGCTGATTTTTTGATTTATTGTAGAGATGAGGTCTCGCCAAGTTGCCCAGGCGGGTCTCGAACCTGTGGGCTCAGGCAATCCATTCACCTCAGCCTCCCAAAGGCACGGGTTTATAGGCTGAGCCACCGAGCCAGGCTGATCACTCAGATTTAAGCAACAAATTTTTAGAAATTTATTAAATTATTTAAAATTCTATTTTTACTACATTTTCTAGAAACAACAGAAAAATTATATTTCTGTTTAAGTACATCTCAATACATAATTGCTCAAAAGTAAGCAAATCATCAGCTCTAAAGAGATGAATATTAAGATATTAAGAATGAATTAATATTAAATAAGCATCAATTTGATACATAGCAAGTAGACAAAGGCATGGGCAAGTTGAATGTATAGTACTTTATGGAAGTAAACCCTACATTTAGAATGCATTTTCTACAGACATTTTTAGAGATTAGGACTGCAGTTCATGGATACACATCTTCCAAGTCTGTTTTAAAAGCAGTCTCTAAAAAATAAAATCCCAATTAATTTCTACTGCATAGGTTTTTTTTTCTATAGTATCTTTTGGAGGTTCTGACAAACCAACAAGAGGAACTTCACAATCAACAAGCAATTTGGCTCTCTGCTCACTGTGTCCTTATACATAATGGGCTCCCAGGATTACCTTTCAATACATGAGCAGAAAAAATGGATTATTCAGGTAGTACTGTAACCTCTAACTGATAAAATTTAAGCAAATTTTCCAGTTTTAACAAAATGGATTTTAAAATGTTTAGTTTTCACATATTTGATGTAAGTTGTCACTCTTTTACCATTTTAAAACTTTAAATGGAAGAATAAATTAACTATATCTAACCCAATACAAGCTAATTCTTAAATTCACACTCTCTCTGTTAACTTTCCCTTTCCCTTCTCAATCACCTTATTTTTACTTAGGAAAATCGGCTTTTAAATTATGGACTTCCTGTAAAAATTTAATAATTAAATATGATGTCATTGTTTTTGTAATGGTTGCTTTTCTTTTACAAAGTAATGTTTTATATATATTCATTCATTCAAAGTATAATATCAACTTAGTTTTTGAAACAGAGAAATAAAAATAGATTACTAATAATTCCTATCTATAATAAAGCCACATTGAAATGGAATCAAGGTAGAATTATGAGACAAATATCACTAAATATCAAATGTTGAAAAAATAGAAGTGCCTTATTTGAGATTTGTGTGTTCATCTGAGTGTAAAAAGGTGCTACAGTGTTAATCCATCGAGTATTTGAAAGGATAATTTTTTCTAGTGGTGGCACTGTGAATAAAGGTATTTTAGTGAACTGTCTGTGCCTCCCTACCTGAATGAAGCCTTGTCACGTGAAGGTTGTGAGAGTCAGTGCCTATGCTATCGGGGAACCCACTGGCTCCTACAAAATCAGATGGCAACAGACAGATTCTGTTACTAAGTCCATTTATTTGCTCTTACATGTCCTCTTCCAAGAAATTCAAATCTATGTGGTCATTTTTTTGGTTAAAAAAAAGAAAATTAAAAATCATTTATAAACTCTAATCTACAGCTATAAAATTATAGAGCATAAAATGACAAAAATCTAGTTAATTTAGATAAAAATCTACTACTCTTACCTAAATATAAAGATTGCTATTTTTTTCTTTTTTGAGTTGGAGTTTCACTCTATCACCCAGGCTGGATGAAGGGCAGTGCCTTGCTCCTGGCCACTGCACCCTGACCTGCTGGGCTCAGGAGATCCTTCCACCTCAGACATTCATGTAGCTGGAAACTGAGGGACATGCCACCACACCCGGCTACTTTTTTTACATATTGTAGAGATTCGGTCTTGCAAAGTTGCCCAGGCTGGTCTCCGACCCATGGGCTCAGGCAGTGCTCTCACCTCGGTCTCCCAAAGTGTGGGGATTATAGGCGTGAGCCACCGCACCCGGCAAGATTGCTATTTTTAAAGTATTCAATAAAAAGTTAGTGCTGTTTAACATAAATTCAGATGGATCCTTATCTTAAATTATCTAAATGACCACCCATATCCTCAACTGCCTAGTGAATTAGCTTGTATAGACAGCCCTAGAACTCAAGAGCTTGCATATAAGCAACTGAGAATACGCTGTACTAGCATGTGTACTACACTATTCAGACGTCAATCTGCTTTTAAATTTAAAAAATGGAAACAAATTAAAATCATTTTATGGTAAAACAGGAATCTGTCTAAGGGACTGCCTACTTATAACATAAATCCATCAGTCCACCCCACAACAGCAGCCTAGGAGGCACAGGTTCTGCAGAAGGCTCCTTGGCTACTCACGTGTGCTAACTCTTCACATTTGGGGCAATGTGCTTATTTAAAAAATAGTTTGGCCAGCCAGGCTCGGTGGCTCAGCCTGTAATCCCACGCCTCTGGGAGGCTGAGGGAGTGGATTGCCTGAGCCCACAGGTTCGAGACCCACCTGGGCAGCGAGACCTCATCTCTACAATAAATCAAAAAATCAGCCGGGCGTGGTAGTGCATGCCTGTAATTCCAGCTACTTGGAAGGCTGAGGCGGAAGGATCGCTGAGCCCAGCAGGTCGAGGCTGCGGTGGCCGGGAGTGGCCACTGCACTCCAGTCTGGGTGACAGAGTGAGACTCCAACTCAAAAAAAAAATAGTTTGGCCTATTTTAAATATTTGCCTGATGGTATCGTGATGGTGAATCATCATTTTAACTAGAAAAAGCCCTCCCCTCGAAAGAGTTACTTACAATATGTGTGGGAGCAACATTTCAGGGGCTCAGGGCCTATATACTAGTGTCTGCACCACCTTTTATCAGTGGAGTGGCCTTGAACTAGCAGCCTTCGGAGAGTTTTGGTTACTCAACCTTGAAACAAGGAAGTTGAACCTGAAGGTTTCTAAAGCCCCTATAAGTAAGGGACCCATGATTCTGTCTTTATTGTTTTCAGTATTGTCTTTACTGTTTCCAGTATTTCCCTTAAATAGAAATGTTAGCATACTGTGGAGAGCTGTTAGTATTTGCAGTGTGTGTGGGAGTGGGGAGGATGGGGGATACAGCATGTGCTCCTAACACACAAACCATCTTACCAAGGAGTTGGACAAAATTATTAATATGCTTTGTAGAGAAAAATAAAAACCTAGTTAAAAAATAAATATATCAACAAACAATGGTGCTTTTTGCTGTGTCAGATTAAAGGTCGGCTGGGAGAATAAAAAAGCTGTATTTATCAATGAGAAGGCATGGTAAAAATGGCTCAACAGCAAGTATTTCTTAAACAGCTGTAAAGGCGCTGTTCTAGGTGGTGGGATAGATCAGCCAATGAAGCAGATAAAGATGATTGCCCTCTGTTTGGGATTTTTTTCAGGTCATAGTCTTGTAATTAATAGGAGAAACAATTTTTTGGAATAATTATTTTCTAAATCAGTTCACTAATCTGGAACAAATAGAAAGTTCTCTTCACCAAATGGCAAGTATCAATGAAAACCCAAAGAAAATAATATTCCAATCTGGCACTTTCCCTCAAAAGTCATGTTATATCATCCCTATCTGACAGAACATGCAGTGCTAAGGATGGTGGAAAATCAAACTCATAATGTAAGATTCTCTACTTCATAATAGAAGATAAACTGGGTAGCATGGCTACTACTCTGACATACAAAAACTACATTAACAGTTATAAATTCTCATTTCCATGTGTTTCAGTTGCTGCCTATGCTAGAGACTGAATGTGTCCCCATAAAATTCATGTGTTGAAGTCCTAATCCCCAATGTAATGGTATCTGGAGGTGGGCCTTTGGGAGTGATGGGGTCATGACGGTGGAGTCTCATGAATGGGATTAGTGCCCTCATAAAAAGAGGCACCAGAGGGATGCTCCATC